AAGGAGAAGCTGAGCAAATGGCAGCATCTTTGGATGCTAGAGCCGTCTTGGAAATTCAATTATTAAAGGCCACAATGATTTGTTTCCTTATTTGGTTCTTGAATATTCTAGGGTGAACATTTAGATTAGTGGTTGTGGTTAAAAAAGGGCTTGTATGGGAGGTAAATTTGCGTTTGACTACAGTAACTGCTGTAATGCACACCCTGCTGTAGCTGTTCATATTCATGTTCATATTTCAGTTCAGGATTATTCCTCAGTATCAGGATTATTTCTTAGGATTAGGATTTCTTATAATCAGGCCAAATTATCTTTTAGAAACAGGAATAATTGTCTCAGAGTCAGGATTATATCTTAGAATCAGAATTATTTCTCAGAATCAGGATTCTTTCCTACAGTAATAGGATTATCTTTTAGAATCCAGATTATGTCTTGGAATTAGGATTACTTCTAAGAATCAGGATCAGTTATATTATCAGAGAACCAAGAAACCAAAGTGGTATGGTCTTACCAACGAAATCATGCCATATACGTACATGTATTTATTCAATTACATTTCATGACTATACCTGGTAGTTGAATCTTTAAAAAGGTGAACATTTATGTTTCTACCTATTGATTTTAAGCATGATATTTCATCATAGACAATTCAGTTTCGACATTGAAAACTGCAAGCCAGGAAACAAAAACGCAGCATTTCACGGTTGTAGGTTAAGCGTCAGAATTATTCCCGGGGTGATGTCAGGCAGAGCGTGATGTGAAATTGGGAGTAGTCTCTCCTCCCGCCTCCGGAACCCTCCAGGACTATTTCCAACCCAGCGCAATCACTCTCCTACGTCAGAGAGGAGGCGCAGCGATTAGCCCGGGCTTCTGTCTTCCCCCAAATAGATAAAAATAGCAGAGATACATTTAACGCCCTGCATTCGGACCTGGCAAGGCTGTGATGTCGGATCTATTTCTGCCGGCCCGGGTTTGCATCAGTCAAGGCCTCGAAGGACAAGGTTGCTTACTGCATAAACGTGAGGACTCTTAATGGCTACGTCACTCCCACTTGGTTTTAGATCGCTTATTATGTCAGCGTCATCAAACAGACGTAAAAACGAAGGTGTTGTAAGTCCTGGTAAGAAGGACCATAAAACTTTAAGGTTAGTGCGCATTAACAGGCAGGTTTGTAGGATATTAATATTGTGGTGTTACGTCCGTCTGAGGATGGATATGTCAGGGTGTCTACCTCAACTGTTTTAATGTGCATGTAATGTTGCACTATTCTGTCAATATATGAAAAACATTTTTGATTTATGCTGTTCAGTCTAGTTAAAATTTTTAATTCATGCCTACGTAGTATTGCAACAAAACAGGTGCTTATAATACTAGTAACTGGGCAATATTAATATGACATCTTCACTTCTCTATAATACAATGAGAATACAATATGATGTACACTTTTGACTTTGGACTACATTCCTGATTGGGTGTGGAATATGCATTTTCACTACTATTCTGTTTTGTAGGCTGTTAGCCCAAATATGTTAACTTAAGAAAGGTTGTTGTTACAATGGAAGATGACTTGCGATGTTTGAAAGCATCTTCTGAAAAATGCATAAATCTTGTTATTGCTTTGTTGCTTGTTGCTGATGTAAAAAACTAAATTCATACATGTAGATTGAATCATTGACATTAACTGCCGTTAGTTCGATCGATCGCTCCAACAAGCGAGCGGAGTCACCCGTCAACAGGGCCATGTTTACGTTTGTTGGTGCGTGTCAGTTCCCACATTGTTCCACACAAGATGAGACACTGGGTACACAGGAGTGAGTAAACGGGGGGCATTCCTCTCCCACTTCCGGTCGCACAGAGCCCTTACATGTAGGTGTCAGCGCTAGGTTTACCTTTGGAATCACGGTCCAGTTGGAGTGTATACAGCCGTGTGTGTGGGGATGTGATGACTGGCATGACTGTGCTGTAAGGCACATCCGGCTTAGGGCAGGAGAATATCATTCCGTTACTCAGAGGCCAGTCACCAATGCGTAGATGTAGTAGCAAGCAAAGTTCAGTGGTTTAGCAACCCTGCCTCTGGACCAAGGGGTTGGGAGTTTGAATCCTGGCTGTTGTCGCTCACCCAACATGCATCATGCTACCGGAAAGGGTTGCAGTTCCTAGGATGGGATGTTAAGCTGTGGTCCACTGTTCATTGTGCTTGTTGAAAAGTCAGCTAGCTATGGGAATTTCTGTGGTACAATCGACAAACTTGGTACATAGTGGCTCTCTCCTCTGTCACAACCAGTGGAGGATTAACTCTTCAGTGAAGTAAAACTGGATTGAGATGACTTTCCTTGTTTATCTAGTTGGACCTTGCTATTGGGCTGGAAAGGACATTTGAAAACTGATGAAATGAAATCTTAAATTCATGGCCCATTTACATACTGTACATAGTATTTCTTTTCACTTACTACATGTAAACATTGTAGTCTTTTAATTCATACAAAAAATTGACAATTCATTTCCACATACACGACTATTTCAAACCAGTAACACTTGATTTTCACACTCGCAAAATTACATGTACATATCTACATTTTGGCCATAAAAACCCGAGCTAAGACCCATATAATAATCTTGCTGCAGTGTTGTGACGTCATGGCTGCATTATTATTTTTTAATTACGCAGCTTTTGTAAAGCATGTAGTCAGATGGGGTAGCTTGTATGTCATTGAATTTCGCATTGCACTTGGACTGTCGTCACCAGGAGCTTGATGACGTCTTCTGACGGTTGGAGCCGCGTCAGGAATGTCGTTGGTGATGCCAAGTCGCATGCAAGAGGGTCTGCATGGGGGGTCCTGATTACGCTTTACGCTAAATTTATGGAGGCCTGCAACGCTTTACGTTAAATTTCCGGAAGGCTGGCAACGTTTTACGCTAAATTTTCGCCTCCTCACTACGAATAACGGTAAATAAAATGACTTCCCTACGAATTACGGGAAATTATAAAGAGGCCGCCTACACCTTACGGAAAAGAGCATGCAGACCCTCATGCAAGGCTCCGACTCAATCACCATTGTGAGGAGATTGGGGTGAAAATGAAGTGGAAGATGCTTCATCACGGTGATTCGGGGATCCCTTGACATGTCATTTACGCAAGGAGAAGCCTTACAGATCCCTATGAATTTGATTGAGTCAGGCACAACTTACTGTAAATCACATTTTTTTGCAGTACTCTTGTATTAGCAGTTTTTGCAGTCACATCTGCACTACAAACTTATCATTACTGTGAAGAAATAATTTGCCAACTTTCTTTTTTTGCTGCACCTGCTGCCACTGTGAACAACCGCATTTTTCCCAGACCGCAAACTTTTGTTACACTGAACATTAAGTGATTTACAGTTACTGTAGTTCTTTCAAATCAAGGATCATAGACATTTTTATAGTCTCCTTTCTTGAATCTTTTCATGCAAAAGTCAGTATAAAGAGGTGAAGATGAATATAAAATGATTCAGGGGTAAAAAAACTTCTGATGGTTGTAAATAATTGTGACAAATTTTATTGCGTGTTATTTACTCTACATCCTGGTAACAATATGTGTAATGTTATGTTAATCATCAAGTATAACAAATGGCAGTGTATGTGTGTGTGTTTGAGGGTGGAGTGCAGGAGTGTGTGCAATTGTGTGTGCGTGCATGTGTATATGTGTGTGTGTGTGTGTGAGAGTTACGTGTGTGTGCGTGTGTGTGTGCGTGTGTGAGGGGGGAGTGTGTGTGTATGTGTGTGTGTGAGAGTTACGTGTGTGTGTGTGTGTGCGTGTTTGTGTGTGTGCTTGACTGCACAACAAAAAGATTTTTTCCATCGCACTCTGGACAAGTTACCGTCAGCAAACTGTGGCAATATTTTGCTGTAACAGTTGAGTGATGCCTGTATAGCATCCACATGTACATGTACAATTATAGAAGAACCTGGAACATGGACATGGAGAGCCTCCTACTCTACTAATTGTCAACCTGTATCTTACTTTCATGAACTGAATAAACCTGTGCAAGCATGCACTTCAGAAAATGGCTGTGATACTTGCATCATTGGTTGAGTGGAATTTCTCCAGTGGGTGAAGTATTGTCTGAGGGTTGCCCCTGAAGCAGGATGTCAAACTGTTATGTCAACACTAGTGGTGGTCTCACAGGAAAGCTACTGCGGCAGAACGTCTGTCACTATCTAAGCAGGTGTTCGGGTGGGAGATTGTAATGTTTTAACCTCCATGAAAAATGGAAGTATAATGTTTTTGGTTTGTCTGTGTGTGTGTCTGTGTTTCCACATTGGCACTTAGGTCAGGTTGTAGTGGATATGGTCTGTCCCGGAGGGAGAAAGTCATTAATCATGTCCACATTTGGTAGCGCTCGCTGTTTTCACAGGAGTTTCTCAATACATGACCTCCTTGACAGCTAATAAAGGACTAATTCTTGTTACTGACTGCTGATATTCTCTGAAAGCCACCTACCTCCCTCATATCATCGGGGGAAATTGCTGGCAGCCACGAAATGTTACCATCTCCCACTCCAACATCTGCTTTGAGATTACTTCCCTCAAGCTCTTATTCAAGAAGTGTCTTTAGTCTTTCAGGACATGAGATTACACCTCAGTTTCCATTGCAATTTGTGATTCATTTATTACATATTGAGTGAGCGTTTTGCAGGTTGTACATTGTAGCTGGGTACTTAATATTTGAAGCCCAGTAGTATACAGATCAATGTGGATTCAACAACTGTCAGAATGCCAGCTAAATTTCCCTGGAACGGAATCCAGGAACATGAAATCATGAAGCTTAGACTATCTCAATGGAGGAAGTAGCTAAGAGCATAATGGTACAAAATGATGTTTGCAGAGATATTTTGCACTGGTGCGTGATACATGTATTTCAACGTCGTCTTGTACATGGTGTTGCATGCTGATGTACCTACTGCAGTTCTGAATATTACTGCTAGATGGCATGACTAATGTATATGTATCTGTTTCCACAGTTTTGATGTTGAGAATGGTCCACCACCAAGTCGCAGTCCGTTGGAGGCGGCCAGCCCATCTTCAGGCCTTATTCTACAGGTGAGTCTAAGATTGACGTTAAAAAAAATGTTTCTTGAAGAAAATTACCTCAACAGACAACTTGCACGCCAAAAAAAAAAAAGTTGCTCAAGCAACTGGATATGGTTTTGGACTGTTTCCAACATCATATCCAGTTGCTTGAGTAACTGTTTTTTTGGCGTATCTTATTACCTGGATGTTTGACTTTCACCGACATACAGACATCTTGGTACAAAGCCAATATGTATTCTGACAGTGGTTAGGCACTAGATGCCTGTGTCTGATAGTACCTGTCAATGTAGATAGCTCAAGTTCTTACACTAATAAATGCCTGTCACAATCGATTTATCATGTCTGTCCAGCATACGGCATGACGAAATACGTTATGTGTTTATAGACAGACACACAGTCACACACACACACACACACACACACACACACACACACACACACACACACACACACACACACACACAAATGCCTCTGAAAACATAATGTTCTTGGCAAAGTAATGAGTGGAAATCAGTAGGTCCTGGTCAATGACCTGTGGAATGCAAGGTCAACTGTAAACAAGTTCTACTCCTAACCTAAGGCCATTGCACCCGTCCTAAGGGTATTTTAAATCTACATCCGGACACATGTTCCTTGTTCTGATTTACCTACTATGATATTACCCTGTGCCGCTGGTCTACGTGACAAAACGCAGGTACCATCACTTTATACCTGGACGTTATATCAGGTATGTCACAAATGGGATGGTATCTCTCCAGGCTTTAATTTCCCAGTGTACATTATTGTACCGTCTGACTGAGTGTGCTCTCTAGTTTCTGGGACATCCTGAGGTTTGATGGAGATCTGTAAGTACACTTAGCGACTTAAAAGATTACTTTAAAAGACAAATGTGCTGTAGGCAACTTTTTGAGAAACATTAAGGACAGCTGAGTGTGTTCCTTAGTGTAGAACGTTTAGTAACCTGGCAGTTGCTCAGGATTCTCACTGTCAAACAAATTGCAGGAAATTGAGAACTGAAGTACATATTCCAAACTGAAGAACCATGAATATCAACAGATCTTTTTGCCAATTGACATTTATGTAATGATAGAGCTAGATTTTGTGTTATCTAAGAGCTTACGCATGTAATTCAGCAAGTCAATGTAAGTCAGCCTGATAGATATAAACTAGTCTATATAGCAAACCATCTCCATTATGTGCTCAGCACAAAGTTACATGTACACATGGACATGGTATGTACATTGTCATGTAGCTTGCTAACACATGTACTGTATCAGGCAGTTGTAGTGAATAAAAGTAGCCTTACCTTGAGTATGGATAAATTTGGTGTTGATGACTGACTGAGTCTTTGAACTAACAGCAAGCAACTAAATGAATGGACCAGTCATTAAAAATAATAATAATAATTATTGTCTATTCACACTTTTTAAAACTTGTCAAGCAGGTTTTGGTTATTCTCTGATCCAATCACTGTCTAGTCTAGCTTATAGTAGCTTGAAAGCGGATTAAAAAGCTACCCAGTTATTTGATCAACTTCTTTAGTCTAGAAAATTTGGGGGCGGACAATTGCATTGTAACTGTGCTGTGTGTTACGTGAGCAGAAGCTCCCACCACATCAATCAATCCATCAATCCATCAATCAATCAATCAGAATAGACCATAACAAGTCTAGCTGACCATTCATACGTTCTTCTGATGTCATAACATAGACCTTGTTACTAGGACCACACAGAGGCTGCATAGTAACAATGTTAAATCACACACAATAGGTGTTGTTGGAACTTGTAAATCTGTCCTTTAGGCCACCAGTCTGATTTGTTGGTTCTCAGATTTTTGTCAGAAAAAATCTGAAGGAAAAAAAAACAGGGCTAGGCATCCTATGGTAGCTCCAAATGCTATGCTAATGATAGGAGCCATGAAATCAACACACCAGGATGGTTTGTAATTGATTGAAATAATGAATTTCAAAATTCTAATCAAACCACTGCATTGATAGATGGAAAAACTGACTTGGAAGAGAAGTGACTTCCTTGAGCTGTTGGAGCCAAAATATGAGCAATTTGGAGTTGATTCAGAGGCTGAAATGTTTTTTTTTTACAGATCAGGAAAACAATAAGCAGGCCAATCTGTGAACCAACAAATTAAATTGGTGTGGCCTAACCTGATGAGCAGAAGCACTTGCCACATCAATCAATCAGATTAGACCAAAACAACCATTCATACATGTACATTCTTCTAGATCTTATGTCACAACACAGGCCCTGTTACTAGGCCACACAGGGGCTGCGTAGTAACAATGTTAAATCACACACAATACGTGTTGTTGGAACCTGTAAATCTGCCCCTTATGACGTGACACACCTGACAACAATACCTGGTCTAACACAAACGGGACCTTATTTTTCCACCTTGAGAGGTTGTTGCCAGCAGGTGCATGGCTTTAGATGTCAGGGGACTCTGTCAGTTTCTTGCAGAGTCCTGAGTCTGAACCTATTTTGGGTCGTTAATGGTTGCGGAAAACGTAAATTCTGGATCGGATGCTGATGTGATGTCCCCAGGGACGCATCTCGAATGTTTTTTTGTTGGTATTGACGTAATAGCTAATGGTTGAAAGAAGGTCGTTAACATCAGACCATCCGGCGTACGTGCCTGGACACACCTGCGGTGACACAAACACAGGGATAGAGTTACCGGACCTGTCAGTTGAAAAACAACATCGGTGACGAAATTTGCCCCAGAAAGGGGGCATAAAAGCTCTGCTTCGACGTCGGTGCCTCATAATTACGTTAGAGAGAGCCCCGGGAAAATGTGCAAACTGTGCAGAGTTGTGTTGCCGGAGGTAAAGAGGGGATTATCTCATTGTTGGGAGGTGGTGGAGGTAAGCCATGGTGATAGGTGCTCGGAATGTCGTTAACCTTGTCTTGTCATTGGTCCTTAGGGAAGATATTATAGCCATGGAAAAAATCCAAATACATTCTCATACTGATTTGGATTAAACTTGATATTTTGTTGAGACAAATGTGCTCTTTAGCATCCAAAGTTAGCATTCTTTTACTCAGAAAAGGTCCTTTAATTTGAAGAAGCTTGCTAATGTCCACTGGAGTATGTGGACATTGTTGTTCTCACTTTGAGGCCGTTTCAATTTGCGCTATGTACGATTAATGGCAGATAACATTCCCAGTGGTTTCGATGGTACATGTATGCAGTTAGTAGTGATATCCAGTAAATGTGTTGTCTTGATTCACAGTCAAAATGAGTTGTAATAAAAGAGGGCACTGTTAGTACAGTACTGGTTTGATGCCATGGAAGATGCAGACATTGTTGAGATCCTCAATTTCCATGGTTGAACCAAATTAAGCTTTACTCTGAAGCTCTTCGGTTAAACTTGTGAAGAAACTGAAAGTCCATGTACCAAACATTCTCATGAACTGAAGAGAGACAGAGTTAAAGTATATTCATTGTTTATATTCATCAATTCTGATCATTCGTTATCGTTATACTAACTGATGATTTTTTCCCCCTGTGTTTTTGCAGGCCAACTTCCCCCAGCGAAGGGAGTCCTTTCTCTACAGGTCGGACAGTGAATTCGAGCTGTCACCCAAGTCTATGTCCAGAAATTCCTCCATCGCTAGCGAGTGAGTAGGCAGGATGTTTCTTTGTGATTTGATTTACGAGCATGTGACTCTATTGTGTGTAAACTGACGTGAATTGGACGGACAAGGTCATGTGAAGGTCATAAGAAGGTCAGAGTTGTTTATCATGGGAACTCCACAGAGACTATACTTTAGAGCAACCGATGACCAATGGGGGCTCAGAATTTGACAAACCTTTCATCAACAGTGAGAGCTCAATGATGTCCAAGGTCTTCCAAATGGATGACCTCTCAATGATATTCTTATGATCTCCAAAATCTTCAAATGAATCATATTTCAATGCCCCTCAGGGTCCCCTCATACTTGGTTTTTCGATGATTTTCAAGTTCGGCCAACAATTGTTTTGTTGGTGCCCTTTTTAAGGTCTTTTAATGATGTCAATGACCAATGATGGTACATGTAGCTCATTTAATTGCCCAAAAGAGTCTTTGTCCTGTGGAAACATACATGCATGACAAAGACGGTTTGTTACATTGCAGTTGAAAGGAACAGAATTGTTGCTTTGTTAGTCGCATAAAAATTGACTATCATTGTAAACCAGTGCAGCATATCACAAATTGCAACAGTCTGGCTCTGTGGAACGCAATTTTTCCTATTGAAGATCTTACCCAATGAAGCTATCATTCTCACAAATCATGCATTTAAACATTGAGTCACTCAGTAATTGGCTATGTAGAACTGACTGTACATGAATCATCTTCTCTTTGAAAAATCAATATTGAGCTTAAAGAAGAAAACTGATTTTAGAAAACTTGAACAAAGAGTTGTAATTAATTGTCAGAAAATAAAGAATCAGCCATTTGACTAGAAAGTACATATTTGGCTGTTGTCTCAAAGATTCAACAAATCATTGAAGTCACAAAAAAGGCTACACTTGTAAAGTAAAAAAACAACAACAATCTACTACAAGGAAACATTAATTTGTTTTCTTCTGTCATTAAACATAGTTGATAACAACAATGATGATGATGATATTACTAACTAGTAACACACTTTCAGGGAAACCTATTTCTGTCGCTTGCCTCCTATCTGTCAACTGTCTATAGAATCTTCTTCTCTGTCATCTCTGGTGATGTTTCATGATCTCAGCAAAGGGTGGCTGATAACTAGAAAGCAGTTATTGATTCTGGCCATTTTCAATTATGTAGTTCTTGCTTATACTGTAATTCGCCTAATGTTCGCGGTTGCAAAAGTTTGTATCATTTTTGTGAAAGAAAGTTGAAGCATTTGTGCCAAGAAAAGTAGACAGTGGTTCTGAATCCTCTCCTTGGTACTGAATTCACCATCCATTCATGTGCTGGAGACAACGCAGAGAGTACATCCAATGATTACAGTAAATCGCTTAATGTCCACGGTAGCAAAAGTTCGCAGTCTTACGGTAATGAGTTTTTGTAGAAGTGACTGTAAAAACTGGACATAAAAGTACCGCAAAAAAAATCAGAAATTACAGAAATTTGCATTTTTTTAGATCCTTTTAAGAGTAATTTAATTATAATAACAGTCTTAGGCAAAAGATTGTTAATTTGATATTTGACCAAAACTGTCATCAGATCATAATATATTAAGGGAATACACGAGTTTCAAAGTTAATGAAAATGTCATTCTGAAAATAGTTGTTGAAATATACAAATTTTTTCGAACTTGCAGTTTAAAAATGCGTTTCAAAACAATTATTCCTAGACAAACTATAGGGAATTTTTCTAACTTTCATACTCTGTAGAACAAGTGTTTGAAGATGATACTCACAAGTAGTACCTAATAGCCTATGTTATCCTCTCTTAAGAGTGATGATTTTTGCTTTTTGTCCTCTAACCAGCTGTGTGATTTAACTACCAGGTTGAACTCATCCAACAAAATACCCTAGCTGCAGATTAGTATCACTTTTGAAATGTGTAGTATGGGAAAAACGTTTTTGCAGCATTGAGAAAAGAGGAGATAGATCGACTCAACTTTTTCTTGAGAATATCACATTAGAAATAAGGGAGAAGATGCAATTTCAACATTCATTAATTTGCCACAAAAGCAGACTGAAGGTGTCAATCAGAACATTTCTGGGATTGCAAAACGTTTCGTTATTTCTGAAAGCTGTTGGCATGGCACAAAGCAATGCTGGTGATGGGTGAAACTGTACTCTGATTTCAGAGCGGTGGTGAACAAAAGGATATGGCACTTTTCCGCTACGTTCAAGACATGCGTGACAACTTTGAACTCAAGTAAACCTGCGTCTAGGTCTACTGATCAAACACAAAATATTTGCAAGAAATCAGACTGGTCAATCTTTTCTACACACATCAGTTTTTGTCCTTAGTGATAGCAGATACTATGTAAAACATCAGGGCTGCAAAGGAAAATAAAGAAGAACGGGCCCTGTCTATCTGTTTGCACACTATCTGTCTGTGCATGTGATGTGTATATGTAACCCTGTCCACTCCCACAGGACTTCTCAACAGCAACAACAACAACAACAATGTCAACAACAACAATGTCAACAACCCCAGCCCAACAAGCTCCCATCCTCACGGAGGTCCTCTATTGCCAGTAGTGTGTAAGTCCTCCTCTCCGTCACACCCCTGCTCTAGCCGTGCCTCCCAGTTTGCCCTTATATCTAACAGTTAATGGCCAAAAACTAAGACTTGGTACAAGTCCTGGATGTCCTGAAAAGTCCAGGTGTTTTAAAAAAGTCACAAATTCCTCTCTAGGGCCTAGAGAGAAAATGTTGTGTTCCCTGTTTCAGTCCTGAAAAAAATTAGGGTTGGTAGGTGTGGATTAGTTTGTTTTTTTTCCAGACTTTGGCGATCTACATTTGTATAGTGATCCAACTTACACAATACAGTTAAACAATTAAGTAAATGCATGAGGACATTTAATGTATATTTTTAGTGTTGGAAAATCAATGTACAATGTTTCATCACTTGGGTGTCAGATCATGGAGCTAGAAAAGATCAATCGGCTTGAAAAATCTATCTGGCTTTCAGGGTCCACACAAAAAAGGCAGTTTTTTCTAGGGTCAGTAGGGAAACACAACTTTTTTGCTAGGTCCAGTTGTACGAAATTTCAATCTTGAAACAAGGATATTTAGCATTCTCCCTAACCGATATGTTCTACATGTTTAGCTATAGTTGTGTGTTTCTTAAATACTCCTGGACTTTTTATGATATCTGTGTATGAGACCTTCTTTTGAGGTTGCAAGACAATTATTTTTCTTGTTTTGCTCTCTACCAATAAAGTGTGTGGCAAGGTTAATGTAGTAGCAGCACGATCAGGTCACTGTTTGTCCACAGTGCCTTCAAATCCCCCAATCTACCTTAGAGAATGATCAAAACATTAATTTTGTTGCCAACAAGGTTTCAAGGTTTGCTTCAAGGCCAATAAATGCTTTTAAGTCTGCATGACTTTAGATGACTAGATGGCTTAATAGAGCAATGCATTAGGGGTTACTGTAGAAAGAGTTGCGGACCTTTCCCTTTCCTTTCTACTTTCTTTTCCTCTTTCTGCTAAATCCTCATGACTTCTCATTGTCACTTTTCTTTTGTCACTTTGGTTTGTTTCTTCTGGACAGCATGTAGCATGGCACTCACTACACACTGCGAGTCCTGGGGTCTCCAGGCAAAAATAACTCAACCTTTCTTACAATAATATTACACTTCTGTTACTTAAAGTGTGAATCTTAAGGTTGGTGAAGGTGGCACTGAGTAATGATTGTCAAGAAATGTCACAGCATTAACTTTCATTTCAATCAAGTTTTCCAATACAAGGCAAGGAAAACAGTTATGTAGATAATCAATTGAACAGCCAATATTGAAATGTATGGTGGCTTTGTAATACATGAATTGTACTTTATTAGTTTTAATACTTTTATCATTTAATATGAGCTGAGGAAACATTATCATCAATCTATTCAGAAATAACAAGATTTTCGGAAGCAAGCATGTCTTTGGAGATAATCTTGGTTTTTACCATGATGATACTTGTTTTCCCCAAAATACCAGTGATGTGATGTTATTGCATGTCAAACAAATGCATGTTGCTGCCTGAGTTTCCCACCCACTGGCTGTTATTGAATGTAACACAATATTGCCATGGATGAAATTGCTTTCAGGATATCTCATCTTCAAGTAATGAGTATTCGAATGTGCTGCTTATGTTACACTGCGGATGTATCTTGCATGTCCCGAATGACGTACTAGGTTTCCTCCAGACTGGAGAGTGTAATTTTCATGCCTTTGACCTTCCAGGCACGAGAGTGATCTCATCGTTACCCCATTTGCACAGGTGGGTTTCGTAGTTTTACAGTCTGAAATGGTCCAATTTCTGCTGTATACTGTTCAGCTTAAAGTAAAATACTGATTCAATAGACAAACATCTTGTGCATGTAATTATGTTACATCTAGTACATGTAATTATCATTAAGGTGTCATGAACTTTTTGATAGTACTGATACAATTGTACAGAAAAAAATTTTTCGGTAAGGCTACATCAATTTAATCAATTGGTTCTTCATTTTTTTTCAATCCTACATGGTACACAATGTATGGGAACAACAATACTACAAAATTAAACTATCCTACAATTAAAAATTAACTACAAACTATTATTGATATAAGAGTTACAATATAGTCATGTATGGATGTTTTGGTCTAGCTTTTGGAGTATAAAGAAATTGACTATAGTTGGGAGTTATATATGTGGAAAGTAATGTCCTGTGTACCAGATAGGATGAACTTTTTATTAGAAAAAAGATAGCATTATGTTTCCAGTGCAAATATTTTGACATTTTTTCCTCAGGTGTTAGCAAGTCTGCGTAGTGTTAGGAACAACTTCATCTCATTGACAAACGTTCCTGCATCCAGGTTAGTGCCAAATTCAGTTTGTTTTCTTCTAGAACTAACAGACTGACCTTTTGGTATTTCATCAGTATCATTTTATGAAAGGTATTGTGAAAAAATCATGAATTACGTAACAGTAGTTTATGGGGAAAGTAAACCCAGTGTAGTCTTTTCCTTGGTGCTGAATGGACCATCCATTGAAGATGATAGTTTTAACACAGAATGTGTAACCTAAATAATTGTTTTGTGAAGAAAAGTAGGTACATTTGTACCATGAAAATTAGACAGTGGTTCTGAGCCCTCTCCTTGGTGCTGAATGGGCCATCCATTTAATATGATAGTAACAACACAGTGTACATCCAACCTTAACAACCTTTTTCTTGTGTCATGTGTCACGTGAAGCATATACATTATTAATAATTAGTATTAAATCATATCCAATATTTGTGTGTTTTTGCAGCAGCCGACGCTCATCTGTTGGGTCTCAGTCACATCCGTCTCAGGGAACAAGTAGCTCAAGTAATAACAAATTAACGGTACCAGGTGGGTGATGGTGACGGTGCTTGCCTAACTCCTACATATTAACCAGCGGTACAGTAGTTTAAATAGTACCAATTAACGTTCTAATATGGATGCATGGCTCTACATATTTATACCTTTGCTGCACCACATGATTGTTTTCGAAAGATGATAAATTTTTTCCTACCTAAAAAAATTCAAAACAACAATTCAGAGAGCTCAGACCACCATAATATATTAAGTCTTGCCATGGTGTCTCCAATTTTAACAAGGGTTAGAAATCTCTCATGAACAAAAGCTCTCCATTTGCTATTTGGTGCACTACTAAATTGGCTGATGCAATCTCCTATATTGTGCAAGAGCAAGAGCCTTTGAGGAGGTCATGTAACGACTAACACCTATATGAAAGCAGCCAGTGCATGCCTACCAGATGTAGAAGTGACTAATGACTTTCTCACTCTGGGACACACTAAACCCAACCATATCCATAACCCTCGGAAACACACACACACAGACAGACACAAACACATACAGATCAAAAACAATACGTCCATTTTTCGTGGAGCTCTAGGTTTTTCATGACTAATCCAATTGGCAATGAGACCGTAAGACTGTTTCATGTTGTCTGATTTGGTTTGTTGTTTTTTTCCAGATGAGAACCAAAGTAGACTAGCGATGGAGACATTAGAGGAGTTGGACTGGTGTTTAGACCAACTGGAGTCCATACAGACACATAGATCAGTTAGTGAGATGGCTTCTAGTAAAGTAAGTACTTCATGCTCCTTGTTGTTACACATTTGTATCTTATAAAGTAAAATTTGAATTAGAAGTTGTGTGTTGGAATTTTTTATGATATAATTATTGTATGAATTACAAATCACATTAAAATAGCTGTTGTGCTAACAAATTCTGAAAAATATATACATCTAGAATGTTTTCTTTGACTTCCTAGTTATGAAAATACAGCAAAATATGAAAAAAAACATTGTAGTGAAACTGATAAATTTGTATTGGATCAGTAGATATTATTTAGCATGAATAAAACAGTTACACTATGTTTACCTTCATTTGAATTCAATTGAAGAATTTTTTTGGATGGGGTCTAACCTTTAATCTTTCACCTTTCCTCCCCCAGTTCAAAAGAATGCTGAACAGAGAGCTGAGTCACTTCAAAGAAACAAGCAAATCAGGAAACCAAGTCTCCGAGTTTATTTGCAACACCTTCTTAGGTATGTCTGTCTTCTGTTACACATAACTTACAAAGGATACATGGCATTTTTGCAGTACAATATTCATGGGAAAGATGGTATAGGAAGAAGTGTGGTGTAGGTTTTTTTCATTTCTGGAAAGAAAGTCGAAACACAGAAAAGGTAACAGTGAGAAAGCTTAACAGTGCTACCTCTCCTTGGTGCTGAATGTACAATCCGTTTTATAAAGTTGAAACACAAAGTACTTAGCATACCTTTGTGTTGTTTCGTGAAAGCAAGGAGAAACATGTACATTTGAGCCACTTAAAATAAACTGCTGGACCTGTCCTTGGTGCTGAATTTGCCATCCATTCAATGTAGTAGTTACAACATAAAATAAAAATAAAATACATTGCCATTTCTCAATAGAAAATAGAAACCTTTCTGTTTAAGAATGAACAGCTGGGTGCTTTCCTTGGTGCTGAATTCACCATCAGTCGAAGGTAGTTGCTACAGTTCAATGTATATTGCCTGTGAAGGATGCAGTTTTTTAAAAAAAAAACAGAATCCTTTATTTATGTTAAAGAATGTACTGTAAATAGCTGGGTTCTTCCCTTGGTGCTGATTTTACCATCCACATGTTTGTATATGTGACCAGCTGGTATATTAATGGTATGAGTAGATGTTTGGGGCTTGAAAAAAACACATGCAACTTGCAACTTGCTTGTGATTTTCAAGATTTGCTCTGTAACTGACGTCTCTGTCTTGCCTTCCTTGCAGATAAACAGCAAGAGATCGACCTCCCCTCCCCAACAGAGAAGGACTCTCCTGAAGAGAGCAAACCCCCGGGGAGAACAAAAGGACCATTGTCTCATGTTTCAGGTAAGGCTGCAAAATGTCTTCTCTAAAATTCAAGTCTTCAAGTTGATTAGTTGTTTGAAAGGATCCTGGCAAAATAAGTTCTTATTTTCTTATTTTTCAAGAAAAAAATGACTGATGTTGGTTACTCGTGGACGTTCACTTTTACTGGTTAGCTCGGGTTTTGTACTTCATTTTTGACTTTGGTTAACAAAACCAGTCAGCTGAAAAACCTTTTAATTCGGTAAAGAGTCTCCTTGTTCAGTGACTTACCAACCTGATGAAACTATTTATGGATGTATTTTTGGCTTCCTACTATACAACTTTCAAGTTCATTTCATCATTACTTTATGCATTGATTGGAAAAAAAAACTATGATGGTTATGTACATGTATAATGTTTTCAGAACAAGTCCATGCATAGCCTTGGTGTTAAGAGATAATGTCATTGGCTGCATCAGGGCTAGGAATAAAGAAAAAATCCCCCCAAAGAGTCAGGTTCATCAAACAACTAATCAATCGTTGGTGTTGTCACGATTTCTTACTTTCTCTGTTTTGTTGTAGCCCTTCTCATCATGCCAGAGTCTGTGACCAATTTTGAGTCTGGTGAGTCTGTACACCATACTGACTCGGCTAATGGTGGTGTCTCGCTTCTGCTGCTTGCTTTCACAGCATCATCGCGATTGTCAACAACTGTCATGGACTTAGTGTCATTAGAATGTTAACGTCTTGATGATAATATGTTTCACAAAACAGATGGAGACATTTACAAAGTTTTTGCTTTGAAAAATGTGTAGGTTTAACATTGTGGTAAAATTTCATCTGCAACAACACGGGACTTTATGAGCCAAACTAACAGCCATCGCTAACTGATATTGTGGTCCAATGCATGAAGGATTAAGGGAATTCATTAACACAATGACATTGGTGTTGTTAGTAACATTTCAGACTACTTTGCCAAGAGCACCATGCAGTCAGTTGTGCAATTAACCCATACCTCTTCCACAGTGTTGGATTTGAAGCTCAAATGTTCCATACGTGGCATGTTTGATGTACATGTTTTAAATCAGTATCTGTTCATGGTGTAAATCTTTGTGGAATGAAGTCCATTTTGACACATAGCAGATGTTGTGGATATAATAAAGAGGCTCTTTCTCTGCAACTGTTTTTTTTTGCTAAGGAAGGTGACAGATAGCTGAATAAAACTCTTGGTTGCGGACAAGTGTCTCTTTATTCAGTGACTTCCCAACCTGATGAAACTGTTCACTGCTTGTAGACAGGTTGGTACATGTAGGACTGTTTTGTTGATGTTGTTCTGTCTCTTTTCTACTCCAGGCTTGAGAAAACTAAGACACGCCAACAGTTTCACAGGGATTGTGCCCAGGTTTGGGGTGGAGGTTTCTGCGGACAGAGAGGACGATTTGGCAAAGGTGACATTCCCACTCCTCGTAATCTCACCAAGGAGCTTTATAACCTCCTTGATTTCACTCAGAATTTTTTATGTTGACCTTCACAGAAGGAAAACATGTTGTTTTTGCTCAGTTTCTTCTTCTTCAAAACAAACTAACAATAAAAAATGATGCTGTTTTTCAGGAAATGGACATGTCCAAGTGGGGAGTTGACTGTTTTAAGATAGACACACTGACCAATGGAAGAGCTCTAACTGCCGTCACTTATACCATCCTCCAGGTAGGTTATGCCATAAGAGTCATTTCCTAAGCAGATGTGATAAATATGATTTATGTCCTACCTGGGCCGCGATTACGTTCGATACGGGTGTTCCGGCCCGTGTGGTAACTAGCGGTACGGCCCGGGGCTTCTTAACGCGTACGGCCCGGGGCTTCCAAATGTTCCATAGAACGATTCGAACGCGTTTCGCCCTAACCGCGTGCAACGCTTTCGAAAATTCGAATGCAAAATTCGGACGTTGGAATTGATGTTGTTGCACTTTTTGGGTTTAAGGACACCAACTTTCTGCTCATTTTGCATTGAAAGGCGTGTTTTCTTGGGTGGGTATGACATAAATAAAATACAACACGGTGTATTCCGCATCACCCTCGGTCCCAGCCCTCCCGCGGATCGGATCTCCCTCCGGCCTTCGGCCGTCGGGCGATCCGACGCGCGGTCGGGCTGGTACCTCGGGCGATACGGAATACCCCGTGTTGTATTCTATATATACATGTAGAGACCGTGAACTTTTGCTACTGTGAAGATAAAGTAAATTACAGTATGTCATAGTAAAAGCTATTTGTTGTAAAACTTTCAATTAAATTAATTGATGGACTTTTAGATAGATCTCCTCACTTTAACTTTGTGCACATCTTATTTACAGGAACGTGACTTGATCAAGACATTCAAGATTCCAGCCAACACGCTCATCACATATCTCATGACACTAGAGGACCACTATCACAGAGAGGTCCCCTACCACAATAATCGGCACGCTGCCGATGTCACACAGACCACTCACTACCTCTTAGGCATGCAGGCTCTGGAGGTAGGGCAGCATTTTTATATATATATTATTATCTGTTCAGTACTGTTCAAGCAAATGATTGATGGATAAGAAGCAAAGAAAGCACAGCAAACCTGTATCTTCAATGCCAAATGTACCCAAATTTGGTTCCCCAAACAAAAACCATCCATTCCAATGTCAGAGTCAGATATGAGCACTTGGCACATGCAAAACGTGCTCGTAATTTATCTGTTTGGAACGTTTGGAATCCAGTGTGATAAGCGATAGACTCGCGTGTGATAGTTATCACAGGAAGAAACACACATATCGAACATGGAACGTTATCGTGGCCTGGGTATGACATAAATACATTACGTAACATTGCTATAGATTGAAGTTTTATAGTTTTAAAGTGATATGACTTAAAAGCAATGGTGAGTATCAGAAAAATTGTTGAATTTGAAATCAAAATTTTTGTAAAGCAGCCTAACTATAAATTGCAAACACTCAGTACAAAATGTTTTCCTTCCCTTAGAATGTCTTCACAGACCTGGAGATTCTTGCCTCCATCTTCGCCAGTGCAATCCACGATGTCGATCACCCTGGAGTCAACAACCAGTTCCTTATTGTCACAAGTAAGTCTCAGCATCTTTAAGGACATCACAAACTGTCAAAAAGGGTTGTGTATCTAGTAAACACCTTACAAGTCCCATTTGAGATGTCCTTATACAATGTAAAGGCATCCAATACAATTTCCGGGCAGCAAAACTGGCTTTTCAAAGTCAGTTTTCTGGTTAGTATGTAATGTAGTAAGTTGAGTCAATTCTGTCCCATAGCATACATAGCAAAGATTTGATGTTTCAGGGATTCGAACTTGGAACCTTTAGATTTTATTTCAGCAACCCTAACCACCTGCTCACCTTGTTTCAGATTCAGAACTACGAATTCGAACCCAGATTTTTATTTCAGCAACCCTAGTCACAAGACCACAATGTTTGAGGTTCAGAACTTGCTGGGGATTTGAACCCAGAACCTTTAGGTTTTGCATCAGCAACCCTAGCACAAGACCACCTTGTTTCAGGTTCAGAACTTGCTAGGGATTTGAACCCACAACCCTAACCACCAGCCCACCTTGTTTCAGGTTCAGAACTTGCTATTCTGTACAATGACGAGTCCTGTCTGGAGAACCACCACCTAGCCGTGGCCTTCAAACTGCTACAGGAGGAAAACTGTGACATCTTCTGCAACCTGTCCAAAAAACAGAGGTCAACACTCAGAAAAATGGTCATTGACATGGTGAGTCTTACTGCCTGTGTGGAGCAGAGTTTGCAAACAAATAATAGCAATGTTAGCAAATAATAGACTCTTCATTCTCATTTCAATCTTTACCTTTTTTCTTTTCCTTTGGACTTCATTCTGGCATTCTACAACATTGTTTTCCAATCCTTTTTTTTTACAATTTACGGCTTATATACATGTATCCTCATTTTGCAGCTGCTTTGTATGATTTACAGAATGGTCAAAACCTTTTGTTTTGGAAACAGATGAAAATTCTTGCTCATGCGGATGTCATCCATAATCAAATCAGTGTTCTCACCAGGCCCTTTGAGCATAGGGGCCCCCTATGCTGTGATTAGGACCCCTATGATGTCTTTCAACCAGCATAGGGGTGTTTTTTCTGGAAGAACTTTCATGAATCATGCAAAAAATGAAAATATGACTTTAGAATTAAGCTATAGCAATGGGAAAACCTTAACTTCACAAAATCTCTCCCTCCATAAGTGAGAAATAGTGTCTCAGGGGGTTATGAGTGTCAATTTTTTTTTGCTCAATGCGCGACTTGCGCTGCAAAAGTTGCCCTTCTGTACCTGACCCCTATGCTGTGAACAAATCCAGGTGAGAACTCTGCAAATTAACACGGCCTAATTAATTGCTGCTGCCCCTTTTCCCAGGTGCTGGCCACCGACATGTCCAAACACATGAGTCTGCTAGCAGACCTGAAAACTATGGTGGAAACCAAGAAGGTCGCTGGGTCAGGGGTGCTACTGCTGGACAACTATACCGACAGAATACAGGTACGGGAAGGTTTGTAACTGTAGCCAGGCAATCACTGATACAGAGCTGGGGATGTGTGGTAATACAGCTTTGTGTACTTTTTGCAGAAACATGCACACTTGTACACTAACACATACTCACTATCCGGTATATTATAAATCATAAATTATGTATTGTATTCAACTCATTTTAATGCCATTGTATGTTTTGTCATCAAAAAATGGTAGTACAAATGTTGAATGCAAATTGAATGGTAGTAGAGCAAACCCATTCACATTATACACAAGGCAGAAAAAAATCCCAATTTTTTTATTGTAAATTTCTGTAATACTTTGTTGGTGTAACATTCTATGGTCTGTATTGTCAACTTTATATACGCCTGTAAGATTATCACAAGTATGCAAAGAAGTCACAGATATGCAAATAAGCGAGAATGCCTCGTCCCAAAGGTTCTGCAGAACATGGTACACTGTGCAGACTTGGGCAACCCGACCAAGCCACTGGAGCTGTACAGACAGTGGCTGGACAAGCTGATGGACGAGTTTTACCACCAGGGAGACAGAGAACGGAACAAACAGCTGGAGATCTCTGCCATGTGTGACAGACATAACGCCTCGGTGGAGAAGTCTCAGGTCAGCAGAGCTACAGCTACATGTAGGGTTTATGTTTGTGCCACCAAAATTGAACTTCGGCAATTATTTGTTCACGCTAATGATAAGATCGCTAGAGTAGGTAGAGAAGTGAAAACCACTGTTCTGTTCTCAAAGGTTAGGCTTATTGACTTCATCGTGCAATCATTGTCCTGTTTTGAATGTTACATTTCTCATCAAAACAACTGTTCTGTTCCCCTGCACAGGTTGGGTTTATAGACTTCATCGTTCACCCCCTGTGGGAGACGTGGGCCGACCTGGTCCATCCTGACGCCCAGTCCATCCTGGACCAGCTGGAGGAGAACAGGGACTGGTTCGCCAGTCAGATCCCCATGAGCCCCTCCCCTGGACCGGACAGCAAGGAGAAGAACGGCAGCCAGGACTGTATGTCTACACTTTTACCTGCTCACGTCTTGTGAGAGAACTGCCGGGCTAGCTACAGTCAAACCTGTACCAATGACCAGTTCTGTATAACGGCCACCTGTCCATTTATGTACATTCAAACATATACTTCATAATAGTAGTAATCACCTCTGTCAAAAGGACCACCTGGCCATTCAGGGTTTGAAATTCTGGGTGCATGTGCACCATAAATATATTGAGTGGTCATCAGTTTGGCTTGGCTGTAGTTGATACCAGATTAAGAATCTAAGCAATGGGAAACATATGTGACTTATAAAATGCATTGCATCATATTCATTATTCTATTAGTAACTTGGTGTACAATGACATCAGAGATTGGCGATAACTTCACAGTTTGGCAATAAGTGTGATAACTTCAAAGTTTGGCGATTAGTGTGATAACTTCAAAGTTTGGCGATTAGTGTGATAACTTCATGATCAAAGTTTGGCAATCATTGCGATAATTTCATAGTTTTGCAATCATTGCGATAACTTCACAGTTTGGCAACTAGTGCTATAACTTCATAGTTTGGTAATTAGTGTGATAACTTCACAGTTTCGCGACTAGCGTGATAACTTCACAGTTTGGCGACTAGTACAATAACTTCTCTCTGTCTGCAGACCAGACATCTACCCTGGATGATACCATCATAGAATCCACTGAGGAGTCCTAGGTACATTTTGTACACTCCCATCTGTTGGCTGGCTGCTCACCATTTGCTTGCCTCCCGAAAAACAGTTAAAAATAGATAGATAATACACATAACTGGGGCACACCGATTTAATTTGTTGGTTCTCCGATTACCTTAAGATCGTTGTTCTAGTCAGCATCCATTATTTGACAGAATTTTGCTGCTTATGATAAACAAAAATTTTGCCCAATTTGTCATCTTTGGTGGACAAAAATTGGCATGGAAAGAGACGTCATTAAACTAAGCTTAATCTACATGTACCAGCAAAATTTATCCCTCAAAATGCAGGAAATAGCATTTTAGACAGTCAAGATTTCAAAATTTTCCAGTGGAGCATGCCCCCGACTGCCCTAGGATTGTTGCCCTTTTGGCACTGATGTTATACACTAATGAAATAAAATTAAGATGGCAGAAAAAGCATCAGGCTGGCTAGAACACTGCAATAGATCACTGCATCTTGATACACACAGTTAGGCCATGTTGATTTGATTATATGGATGACATCCGCGTGCGCATGAATTTTCGGCCGTTTCCAAACAAAAAAAGTTTTCAACCATACTGTAAATCGTACAAAACAGTTGCAAAATGAGCAAAAATATACCATAAGTTACAAAAAAATTAATAAAAACTATACCAATGTCGTAGAATGCCAAAATCAAACGAAAAAAGACGAAATTGTAAAGAAATGAACTTGAAGACTAGATTATTCGCCAAAACATATTCTGTGCCATTTGCTCAACCCTCATGACCACGTAGATTTCATAATGAAAAGAACTTTTTTTTTGTCAAAACTTTTTATTTGCACGCGCGCATCAGTTTTGGGGCTCCCGGAGGATGTCATCCATATAACCAAATCAACATGGCCTTACAGCAAATACATTATACATCTGTGGTCAGATGCAAGCTTTTCTCTAGCCCTTTGCTTTCATATTTATCTGTCACTTAGTTTTGACATCAGAATTAGTGAGAACCAATGAAATAAATTGGTGTGGCCTTAAGGGTGATAATGTTTTCCCCATTTCTTAAGATGGCTTTGCAAGGAGCTGTGTTAACTTTTGATTAATTCTTGTAGGTCACCAATTGAAATGCTTGTAAGGTCCTGGAGTAAGAATAAAATGGCCAAGAAGGTGGGTTTGGATCTTACAGAGAAAGACATTGTAACAATGATTTCTAGAGCAGAATTAACTGTAATTTCCAACACAAGAAAAGTTTGACTGTACAGTCTCAGTCTTTGTCCAGAAATGAGCCAATTCACTTATTCATTCAAGTTGACAAAAACTGGAGCTGCACAACTGAAAATTTGAGTGTCTTTCTACCTCTTTCTGTGTTGAAAATTACAGTTGAATTCTGCTTCAGAGTGAATTGTACCAAAATAGACGAACCTCCAAGCTGAGTAACGATGATTTGTTTTTGCCCGCAGCTCCGTCACATAAGGAACAGTTTCGCTTTGACATGACTCCAGAGTTAGACGAGGAAGACAACCTAGATGACGATGATGATGATGAGGACTCTGCCACGCCGGTCAACCCCTCCACCCCCACACCTCGCAGCCAGGAAATTAGAATCGAGTCAAGGATCAGAGGTCAGCCACGCATGGGGTCAGAGGACAGAGGTCAGCCGTGTATGTTACCCCAGGGGTCAGAGGACAGTGAGAGTGAGAGCGATCACAGTCACATGATTCCGTTCGCGCGCGAGGACAGTGCCGATATCGAAAGTGACTGACAGCGACGTGTCTAAGACTTCAAGGTTATTCTCAAGGAGGAACAGACTACAAAATGTTGTCAGCTCTTGTGGAAGCGTCCCACACAGGTTGGCTTCCACACGACGTTGACTCGTGGACAGGACTAACAACCCGGGACTCTGCAGGGTCTGATTCGCTACCAGTGAACACTTTTTACACTACGCTTGGAGGGGAATATAACTGCAGGAATGTTAGACATGAAAGAAAATATTATTTCATTGTTGAGCCTATATCTGGAGTACCTACTTTTGGTTTTGTTTCACTTCTGGAATTTGTTTTTGCCATCTACTGTCAGACTGAGTTGTCAGTCAAACCTAGGGAACCATACGACATGACTGGAGTGTGGAGGAGGAGGGGAGAGAGCCTGAGCGATATTTGTTCAGCGACGGTCCGAAGATTTTCTGCCGAGGAGAAAGATACAAGGAGGGAACACCGCCCTTGATGTTAAAGAAGTGAGAATCATATCCAATTTTACTTCGCAATTTTGAAACTTTCTGTGACCTTTACATTTGTATAACCATTCATTGTTGCCCAGTGTCATAGCGTAGCAAAAATTATTTTGGGTGCCTTTTTATAGACTGTAAATAAGTATGGCCCAAGAGACTTATATATATAGTTGGACAGAAGACTTGATGAGGGAATGCCAACATGTCACTGCGTAATATTGGAAACCTGGTAATGATAATGACATTGAAGGACACGCTACACTCTGTTACCTCCTTGTTGCTAGCTGGGCTGGTCTTTACCAGATAGAAGGAGGCTCTGAATGGACAAGATCACAACTTTTCTCTACAATGTAGTGCTTTGTAGTTAGTAGAAATTAGTGAACTACTATAATGATGAGTTCTCTGAGCAGAACTAACTAGTGCTGTTAACAGGTTATACTGTGGTTCACTTTGTACAGAAAAGAAAGACTTATCCACCAATATTCACATGTAATGAAATTGACTTGTCCTGTGTACAAAGAACTGGTTTCTCTAACTGTGAATCTGTCGATGCAAAAGCGAACGAAAATACAGACAACTTGTGAGGTACGATACAACACTAGCATGACTCAAATCTCCACATGTCCTACAGTCAGCTTATCATGTCATTCACTCACTTTTATATGCACTCTGAAAGTACCCTGACCTGTATTATTTCTAACTGCAAGAAAAACGCACTCTGCTTCATGTAAATGTTAACTGTTATCATAAAGATTTCACTTTTTTTAGGTTGTCCTTTCATTTAGTGTCAAGTGAAAGATACATTTTGTAATATGAGGCTGTAAAAAAATGGTCGAGCAGAAATTTAGAACAGAAGTTCGCAAATGTTGGATTTCATTTGGAAGGTTATCTTTAAATCATGAGTTTAGCACCCTGGTTAATGTACTAGGCTATAGGACATCTTGACATTTGAGTCCTCTTTTCTGGTCTATGCGGTAGATGATATGTCTACTAGGTACAACACAGTGTTGAACACTTATTGGGGCAGCTTATTATATCCTAGGCCATGTTGATTTCATTATCTGGATGACATCCTATACATGTAGGAACCCTAAAACTGACGCGAGCGTGTAAACAAAAAAATAGTTAGGCAAAAAAAGTTGCCTTCATTTTGACATCTACATGGCCATGAAGGTTGAACAAATGACTAAACACACGGAGTTATAATGGTATGGTGAATAATAGACGCTTCATTTTCCTTTGGCATTGTATGACAATTTAGTATCACTTTCCAATTTTTTTTTCATTTTATGGCATGTTTGTTCATTTTCCAGCTGCTTTGTACAATTTACAGTATTATGGTCTTTTTTTTTAACGGAGGAAAATTCATGCATACTGGATGTCACCCATATAATCAAATCAACATGGTCCTACTGTACACAACAACCCTTGCTCTCTGTGTGTGCTGGTCTATAGTAGGTGTAACGTTTGCTCCAGCTAGCCATGCTCACACACAAAATACTGTACATCAACTACAGGTGTAGCAGCCCAGGTCTGGCCTTCCAAAAATAGAAAGATTATCATTTAGATTCCATATAATATGCAGAAACATACCTATTTCCATCTCGCACTGGAATTTGGTATGGAAAAAAAAATTGGAAACAACAGTGGGAGGATTTGGGGAACCAGAGTTTGTAATATTCTTTTTTTTTTTTTTTTTTTGTCCTCGGCACACTAAGAGCCACATTTGTATTGAAGTTTAGCATGAGAATACTGGAAACACAGCATAAGTAATAGTGCTGGAAGTAAAGCACACTGATACTGGTAAGAATTGCATTGTGCTGTACAGCATACTTATGCTGGAAGTCCCTGAATTGCTAACCTAGTTAATAACCTGTTAGTTCTTCGAACGCATATAGTACATCTACATGTCTGCAAAAAGCATAAGAAAGTGCACAAGTAACCTGTGTAACCAACTGATCAGTAATGTTACTATTGGAAACATCAGTCTATTCTTCGGCTTTGGTAATTGATACAGTTGTTCCAAACGGAAGGCAAGACTCAGTACTGATGTTAAGTTACCCAAACACACTCTGAAATATTCTGTACATTCCAACGAGTAGTCCCTTTGACAGGCTACACCTATTTGGAAGGTCTGACCAGGGATAGCTTACGGGGGGAAAAGAATACATTTTAAGGGAAAGAACTTAAAGGGGGGACCTTATTTTCATCCATTTTGTTAATTTTTTTAAAAGGAGAATGTGACATATTGTGCTTTGGAGGCTTGTTTCTCAGCTATTGTTTTTCTCTCTCAAAAGATGCATTTAGTTTAGAATGGAGCAATTGACCCCTTATTGAAAAGGATATAATACTGTTATGTATGAGGGGGATATACATGTATAGGGGACCTGATGAACTAGGTGTTTAATGTACAGGTGCAATTGAAAACTGTGGGGAGTGGTAGGACATAGAATTCACAACTGTGTTTCCCTTCATTGCTAGGCTAGTGTTCTCACATCTCCAAGCACATATGACAGCTGTACTTATGTAGTGTATGTATATGTGACCTATACCTTCCTGTATATACAGAACTCTAAAACTGCCCTGTACTTATAAACATTTGTATATAGATATATAAATTATATATATCTACACCTTCCAGCTCGACATTATTTCGTAGAGAATGGAGAGAAATATAATAATGCTAGGTTTTCTGTTTGTGAATACTTTAATACTACTGATTGTGGAATGTTATGATGTCTGTTTCACTTTGCCAGGCGCTTAGAGTTACCAGTTTGGAAGACATGAGAAATGTCCAGGGTTTTTCCTTCTGCATGGTTCACTAGAGCTCGATTGAAATGTCTTAAAATTTCTAATATGTTGGATGAAACTAATTGTTTGCTACAACATATTATAAAATCCCTGTGACCGCTGTGAATTATGATAATATGTCATGTATGTTATACAACTTATAGCACACAGACTGGGGCCAACTTCAACATTATGCAAGTGTTTCCCGTAACCTTGAATGTTGGCTGTGAATATGTTTTCACAACTTTTAATAAACCTAAAATTTAGATATATTTGTGCCACTGGTAGTGTTCTACTTAACAATATCAATGCAAATGCTTTGGAAAAACATGTTTTGTACTTCTAATGCTTACATGTAGTATGTATGTGGTTCATCGGAGAACATTGGCATGTAATATGCAGTTTCAAAGCTACACATTCAGTTCAGTATACTAGGAAATGTTCATTTGATGTTCTTCTGACTTGAGCTCGAAAATCCTGAGTTGGTCCCTCTCTGTGTGTACATATTATATGTCTCATTGTGTTTCCATGTTGGGGTAAAACAAGCTAGATAGTTGGTTCTTGTCGTTTCATCAATGCTGTATACTTTGAAGAAGTGTCCAGACTCAGCATCACATGAATACTACAACAACCTTTGCTGATATACTGCAAATACATGTATGCTGCCGAAACTGTGATAAACCATATTTATGTTAATAAGAATGTAGAAACATGTCTTCAAAACTATCAGGAGTTCTTGGCATTTGTGAGACGACTTGTGGATTCACTATGTATTTATTAACTGTACAAATAATAAAAGATTGAAGTAAAATTTTGGTAACCACAGCCTTAGCGAATGATTATTTTGTTGCTGCGTGCTTGCTTTCTTATGTAATAGCAGTATCATCAGGCAGGTATTCCAGGTAGATTTAAACGAAAACATGTTTTTAGATAAGTCAACTTGAGTTAAGTCATAAATTCAAGGTAATACAATGTAAATATCATGGATATGTCACCTAATTTTTGTGATAACTGCAAAGTATCCAATAAGAGGTACAAAGAACAGTTATTTATAACATTAAGACACAAACATTCGTCATTTTAGGTCTGGTGAAACTGCCACAATGGATTCAAAAATATGGCTGATGAAACCAGAATAGTTTATACAAAGTAATACGCTTTGGTTCAAGGAACGGTCTAAAAGCGCCGCCAAGGGGAAGAAATTTAAAATGCAGTATGAGTAACATTCCTGTGACGGTATTCATAAAGCGCCGCCCAGTGACGGATGATGGTACTGCAGCCACTGCCCTACATCTCTCATCGTCACAATCGGGCTGCATCTGACCGTGATCTGACCGTCACACGGTCTTAATTTAGCGCCGCCCAGTGATGGGATAAGGTACTGCAGCCACTGCCCTACTCTCATCGTCACAATCTGGCTGCATCTGACCGTGATCTGACCGTCACACGGTCTTAATTTAGCGCCGCTCAGCGACAGGATAAGGTACTGCAGCCACTGCCCTACATCTCTCATCGTCACAATCGGGCTGCATCTGACCGTCATCTGACCGTGACACAGAAAGGTGTGTATGTACCTGTTTTGCCCTCCCCTTTACGTTGTGATAAACCCAAAGAAGAGAATGTTGTGAGTACCGCCACTTCCCTACATCTCCCATAGTCACAATCGGGCTGCATCTGACCGTGACACGGCCTTAATTTAGCGCCGCCCAGCCACGGGATAAGGTACTGCAGCCACTGCCCTACATCTCTCATCGTCACAATCAGGCTGCATCTGACCGTGATCTGACCGTGACACGGTCTTAATTTAGCGCCGCCCAGTGACGGGATAAGGTACTGCAGTCACTGCCCTACATCTCTCAATCTCATCGTCACAATCAGGCTGCATCTGACCGTGATCTGACCGTGACACGGTCTTAATTTAGCGCCGCCCAGTGACGGGATAAGGTACTGCAGTCTAAACCATTTTAAAGTCTAAACTAAATTAGGGTTACATAACCCTAAGTTAGAGTTAGCTAACCCTAAATTAGGGTTACACCCCCATCAAACTCCTTTCAAGCCGTACCCGGAAATTGAAGCCGTACCCGCTCAAAAATTCTGGCCGTACCCGGACATTCGTGCCGTACCCGCGAAAATTTCAAGCCGTACCCGGTAATTCGTGCCGGCCGAGCGAAGTGTTCTCAAGATTGGGCGCGATTTGTACGACGCCACTCGGCAGATAGGTGGTTAGGAATATTTACCAGAGCATAGGCTATATGAGGTTGTGTATCGTTGCCGAACAGGGTATTTAGACACCACTTCCTAGTGACTACGCACCGGGGCTGAGCGATATCCGCCATTGGGTACGGCGAAAAAGTACAGGGTACGGCACGAATTACCGGGTACGGCTTGAAATTTTCGCGGGTACGGCACGAATTTCCGGGTACGGCCAGAATTTTTGAGCGGGTACGGTTTGAATTTCCGGGTACGGCTTGAGAGGAGTTTGATGGGGGTGGGTTAGTGTAACCCTAATTTAGGGTTAGCTTGCCCTAAATTAGGGTTACATAACCCTAAATTCACCATGCCAATAGAATATTACTCTGTGTGTTTATTCATTTGTTCAACCTTCATGACCACCTAGATTTCAGAATGAATTAGGGCAACTTTTTTTTATTCGCACGATCGCATTAGTTTTGGGGTTCCGAGTGGTCGTCATCCATATAATTAAATTGACTAAATTAAAACTTAATTATCTAATTGAGAAAATGCAAATGCAGTGATTCCGTATCAGGTGTTAAGACCACGCTGCTCCTCAGAGCAAGATGGCAAGTCACGGTGCTTGGACAGGGAAGAACTCGGCGGTTAAAATTCGTCTTTTAAGACGAGCTACGTCCGTTTAAGGAGGTGAGTCGCATTTAACATTATCCTCAATGTTCTCGTAACTATTTGGGCCGAACTCGTTGCAATTCGTTGGGGTCGTGTGGCGCAACGGCAGAACGTTCGGCTCAGAACCACGAGGTCCCGGGTTCGAACCCTGCCATGTCTCCCATCTTGTGCCCTTGGGAAAGGCACTTTACAGGCCTTTCATGGATGTAGGCCTTCGCGAACCTCATCTCGTATTAGCCACAAAAAAGGCAGCAGTATCTTCAGCTAGGTGGCTGCCTCACAACGAAAGAACAAAAAAGAAGAGATGGAATTAAGCTAACACGCAGAATGGAGTTAAATTATTTGCGCCGGTGACGATTCCCTGTGTTTAAACCTGCACTTAGTAAAAGCCGCCATTCGGGGACGCTATTTTCATGTCCGTTTTGAACTAACATGGCTACATAATAGATACGCTCGTTTCTTCCTC